AGCTTTAGAATGAACTGGATTGGAATTGAAATCCAAACCAACTTTATTTGTGAAGTACTTCAAATGACAATCGAGGACCAAAGTTCTGTACACAGCTGAAAATAAAACGCCTCAGAGAGAAATAAAACATATAAAGCACGAAGGAATTAAAAACAAAGAGTCCAAACATAAGAGTCAGAGTTTCTTTATTGTCATTCGCACCTCTTGTGGTACATGTGGTGGAGCGAAATTATGTACACGGGGTCCCAGTTACATCCAACAATAAAATGTATAAGAAAAACAGTAATAACATCTAAGATATGAACTAAGAAAAACATCAACTAAATATACACTAAGCACTCATAACATAAAAACCCAACAATAAAATTGAATAAAAATAATAAATCAGAGAAAATCAATGGAATTAGAAGAAGAAATTAAAAAAACTTAGTAAATCAAATCAACTCTTTACAGAAGGTTCAATGTCCAAAATAAAGAAAAAGAGTGTGTTTTAGGAAGCATTTAAAACAGACAGTGAGGAGGCCGCTCTAACGTGAAGCAGAAGCTCCTCGTTCCTTTTAGGAGCTGCTGCGGTGAAAAAACGACCGCTCCAGAGTTTACGCTTCGTTTTTACGCTCAGGAGGAGCCGCTCCATGGATCTGAGAGAGCAGGTCTGCAGCCCGCAAAGGTAGGGTGGGGCAAATTCAGTGTTTTCAAATCAAATAAAAGTAATTTAAAATGTCCTGCTGCTGCTCAATAATCCAGGTAAATAAATCTAACCAGGTTGAGTCATGTCCTCTGGACAGATTACAGTGGTCCCTCGTTTATCGCAAAGTTTAGCACCCCCCCCCCCCCCCCCCCCCCGCCACTAACTGAAAAACCACAAAGTAAGGATAGTAGAACAAATAGTAGTAGTAGTAGTAGTAAGTAGTAGTTTATTTTAGTATACACAACCCTTCCCACACGCTTACAATTCTCTAAACCATGTTTCTAAACTTTAAATGCTCTAAAAGAGCACAGCCTGTCATGATCTCCACTCTCTGCCACCTGCCGCTCGCTGCCACGCCCACTTCTCCACGCCCACTTCTCCACGCCCACTTCTCCACTGCAGTCACACTCATCACCTCCCATTCTCCCTCCTTCTGTGCAGATAAACAATTTAAATTTAAGTACTTTAATATTTTGGATTGTTTCTTTAAAATATTACAGTATTTAAATTTAAATTGTAGAGAATAGAAGCGCAGCAGGACATCAGCTCTGCAGCACGGAGCAGAAATGAAGTTTTGGCGTCACAGGACACTGAAACACAGTACTTTGCATACAACAACAGTTTATTTAAAGTCCTGGCCCAGACAGAAATGTCTAATAAAAAAGTCCTGCTGGGCAAGGCCACCACTGGCCACCCCCTGGCTCCGCCGTTGCACCTGGTGGTGGATAAAATTGCTCCCTCTGCTCAGCAGGATCAGTCCCTCTACGCTGCCTCGAACAAGTAATAAAGTTAAACTATGTTCTTGTCCACGGTGTAACTCCTACCCATTTGAAAATCTTGTAGCCAAACAGTCGGGTTTACGTTCTTCTCTGTTCAGCTCCGGTCCAGAAAACCTTCTAGAACTGTTTATATCCAGAAGTTATGGGGGACATTTGCATACTGCTTGTTTAAATTGGAGGAAAAATGGTTAGAAATAATACATTTCAGAACAAAATGTTATTTTAAAATGAGGTGTGTTGTTCAACAGTTCTATTACAAAACAATGTCTACAAGAAAACACTCCTGTTTTCTACCGTTTAACAATAAGTTGTAGTTTTATGAGCAATAAACCAGCTTTAAAATGCTCACTTGTCAACTCTGTTACATTGTGGTTTTCCTAACGCAGAGCCTGATCCTGTGCCTCAGATAAACATGTCCTCCTTTTAAGAGATGAAGCCAAAATGTGCATTTAAGTATCCCTCCATAACATTAAAAGTTTCCACATTTATGGTGTGGCTGTTCCTCTCTAATTGCTGACAAAGTGTAAATACCAGCAGCAACGACCGTTTAACTGCAGCACCCTGTGGTTAATAACATCTTCTGTTCAATTCAGTTTATTTCTGTAGCTCCAAGTCCCAACAGGAGTCGTCTCAGGACTCTGAACAGAAACGTTCACAGACATAAAAATGATAATCAGTATAAGTTCTCTATAAAAAGAATCTTCACTTCGTCACAGTCTCCCATCCTGAGCAAGAACAAAGGAGACAGTGGAAAGAAAAAACTCCCTTTAATGGGAAGAAACCTCCAACAAAACCAGGCTCGGGGTGAGCGACCATCTGCTCTGACCAGCTGGGTTTGAGAGGACAGGAAGTAGAAACAGACACAGAATGACAGGTCCAGGTGAACTTTCTATAGTCCAGGTGTACTTTCTATAGTCCAGGTGTACTTTCT